TCACTACCCATAGGCTCCATAGTAGTCCTTTTTTGCGATGGCCTTATAGGATCCTAAATCTAAACCACAAAAAGGAACCACAATGGAACCTATGGGTACATATCGATCTTCCGTACTTGAAGTCACAAACCTCGCCCGAGCCCGTCACCTCCACGCAGGCGTTTCCCCGGAAGTTCAGCATGTTGATCTTCCTGGGACGGGATTGGGCTTTGAGGCTTTCAGGTTTAGGGTTTAGGGCTTAGGGTTTAGGGTTTAGGGCTTTCAGGTTCAGGGTTCAGGGTTGCCATTGTCAGGAAACTAAACACGAGTCCGACGTCACTTAGGTTCAGTCCGTCAACCGGAACCCCCTGGCAGAGGGGGAGTTACCTTTATGGATCTGTCTAGTCTCTGGGAAGCTCCAGCGACGCAGTAAGTCGATTTCGCATTCCCCTTGTAGGATTTAAGGCTGCGGGCTTGGGGTTTAGGGTTAAAGGTTTAAGGTTGAAGATTTAGGGATTTAGGGTTTAGGGTTGAAGGTCTAGGGCTTAGGCCTACAACCCTTTCGATGACCAGCCCCTCTTGCTGACCCTGCCTTCCGAGTCACCAGGGCCTACAACGACCTTTTGACACCCTCACAAACCTGTATAGTATAGAAGTCTAAATAATTACCAATATTATTCCATAGGGTTCCTTATTGTATTTGTACTATAAAGCTGCTCGAAAGCCTAGTCTAACTATTAAGTCCCCTACGTTACACCACTATGAAACCCCTACACTGTCAGTCAAAAGAGTGCCTAAGTAACGTAGAGGTCTGAACAAGTGGTAACAACATCCCGGTTCAATCCCGGTACATTTCCTGCAGAATTAACTCCAAACACCTACACCGATTATTAAGGCGCCCAAGACTAAACAGCGCAGGACCTATTCCAACAGATCCGGCCCCTCTTTGATAGCAACCTGAGCAAGAACCCTTACGGAACCCCTTACCCTAGATCTCGCACCCTAAACCCTAAACCCTAAACCCTAAACCCTAAACCCTAAACCCTAAACCCTAAACCCTAAACCCTAAACCCTAAACAAAACTAAACCTTAAAAAAATGGGGAAAGCAAAAAAAGCGCCAGGCTCTCCGAGGCTCTTTGGGAGCTGCTTCACATCGAGCTCGGCCTCAGGCTCCCAGGAATAGCTCCACAGGACCCAATTAGGGTTTAGGGTTTAGGGTTTAGGGTTTAGGGTTTAGGGTTTAGGGTTTAGGTTTTTAGGGTTTAGGGTGTTGTTGTTGTTGTTGGCTTGTTCTTTGCGGTGATTTTTTCGGATTTCCTCAGGATTTCTAGGGGATCTATAGGGATTACTATAAGGTTTCCAAGAAGGCCGTTTAAAGTTTCGACGAAAAGCTTTATCAAGGTCTTATATGGCGTGAAGAAGGATATCTTTCTGGTGTTCCAGGACATCAAAACGGTGGTTTCAGCACTTTTGGTATCGTTCCTGCATGGCTTTGCACTCGTTTGTTAAGCTCCTGGAGAGCCTTTCTCCCTCAAACAAGGAAGATGCCCGGTGCTCCTGGAATCAGGGTTTAGGTTTTAGGGTTTAGGAATTGCCCCTAAACCCTAAACATTAAAAGGCACTGACCACGCATGCTGGGCTCCCTGCGATCTCGTTCCTCGACAGGTCCTGGGTACGTCCCGTCTCAAGAGGGGCCGAGAAGGATCCTGAAGAGGGGACAGTTGGGTACCCAGAGACTCCAATATTCCTTAATTAAGGAATATTCCTTAAATTATAGTAGGATCCCTAATATAATTTGAGGTATATTCCTTAAAGTATAGTAGGATCCTTAACATGATTTGAGGTATATTCCTTAATNNGGATATTGGAGTCTCTGGGTAGTTTTTTAAACGAGGGTTCTTTTAGCGTGTCGACCTTCGCCTTTGCCATGGCTCTCAACACTCCACTCACAGCTCGACATGACCTGAGGATGTAGGGTTTAGGGTGTAGGGTTTAGGGTTCAGGGTTTAGGGTTTAGGGTTTAGGGTTTAGGGTTCAGGGTTTAGGGTTTACTTGGAGGTTCATGGGTAGTTAGAAGTAGGGTTATAAGTCCTCTAAA